TTCCATTATTTGAATATATATATATATATATGATTTTGAAGAACTTCTGATTTTGTGAATCAAATGTAAATTATATAGACATTTCATTATTTGGTCTTTTTAGTGGCAACCTTTAGAGGACTATTTGTCTTCTGAGATTAGAGAGTAATCTTTCATGTTCCTCTTGTAGCCAAAGAGCAGCGGGCTTAGAGTGGACAAAAGTTTTTGCCAACAGAATTGCTTTACCATTCACAATGCAGCTAGGTAGTGATAGACTAGGGGTCAGGAAGATGTGAGTTCATATCTACCCTCCCTAGGTAATTCACTTGATGTGTCTGTCTCTGTTTCCTCCTCCGTAAAATAGAGATAATTACGTCTCCCTTCCAGTGTTGCTGTGAGGTTAAAATAAAATATTTTGTAAAATGTTTTGCAAAACTTAAAATGATACATAAATGGTAGGTATTATCATCATTATTACAACATGGCAGATCTACATTGTTCTACCACCTGAAACACCTTTCCACCCAGAATGAAAGGCTCAATATGGTTTTATTCATACAACATAACTTCCAATTTCCTAACTGGGCAGTAAGGGGGGGAGGGGAAGCATTGGGTTGATACTGCAATCTGGAACAGTGAACAGAAAGCTGGATTTGAAATCAGAGGACCAGGGTTCAAAAACAGCCTCTGCTACTTAATACTTTTGTGATCTCAGGTAAGTAATTTAACAGCTCTAGGCCTATTTCCTCATCTGTAACATGAATGAATGAAACCCTGCAGGTTTTTTCTAACTTTAAATCTAGGATCTTATGAGTCATTACTCCCAGGTAAGTAAAAACAAAGAAATAAAAAAATATGGCCTTGGGGAAATGAAGGGGAAAACATCATCAAAATTTCACATTTTAATTGGTTTTGTTGGCATGGTTTATGAACAGTTTATACATAACTTGGGAAAATTTACTTCTTATAAGTACATAATTTTTCATGTATAATTTTGATTTATATGCTTTAAATATATGTTAAGGACCCTATATGTTATAGGGAAAACTGTTCCCAAATCTCTACATATCCCTATTCATCCAGGTATCTAACAAGGGAGAGACATAAAGGCAGATATGTTTCTATTTAGCTACTGGAATAATTGAGAGTCAGAAACCCTTGGCTTTGAATTGAATTTTAGTTTGTTTACTTATTATTCATGCTGCCTTGGGCCAATCACTTATCTAGTCCTGGTTCTTCACTTTTAAAATAAAGTAGTTGAAGATGATTTTTTAAAGGTCCCTTCCAGCTCAACATTCTGTGATCACCCTATCCCAGCAAAAGATATAGATGAGAGGAATATTCCAAAGTGGCATTTTTTTTATTGTTCCTATTTTTGGTACTGGAACTGCCATTTCATCTGTACAGAGAACTTCTGATAAGGAAACTCTTACAGAACCATTTTGGCATCTTCTCCATAACCTACAAATCTTAAGAGTTCCCTGGGATAATGAAAGGTTAAGTGACTTGCCTAAAGACACACAGGCTGTGTATGTGGGGGATGAAAATTAAACCCAGAGCTGCCAGACTTCGTGACGGCTCTTACAAGGATGAGGCCTTGCAGAAATGGCACTATTCTAAGGTCAACTCAGTGGCTCAATGGATAGACAGTTCTAGAGTCAGAAAGACCTGAATTTAAATTTGGCCTCAGATACTTATTAGCTATGTAATCCTGGGCAAGTCACTTAACCCCTTTGCCTCAGTTTCCTACTCTGTAAAATGAGGATAATAATAGCACCTATTTCCCAAGGCTGTTTTGTGAACAAAATGATTTATTTATTTCATTTTCATCTGTCAGGACAAGAAATAGATTGTTGCATTAAATTTAGTGATTTGACTCTAGGGCTCAAAAGAACAGTACCAGCATACTTAAAGTTTTGAGGCTAGTGTTGATGGTTTTTTAGTGTACATTATAAGGCTATTATTATTTTAGCAGTCCTTTAAAAAGACATGGAGGCTTTCATCTTTTATATTTGCTTTGAAATAAGATCTATGATGATTAACAATTAGTATGCCAGGTTGTTTTACTTGATGAAATTATCTCTAGTTTTATCAATGTAAACCTCATTTGTAAAGTTTGGGATGCTCAAAACTTAGTAACATTCCATAAAGATAGCATATCTCCTCTTTTTTCAGGGAGAATAGCGAGCATAAACCTTCAACTCCATGATAACGAAATTCAATTTGACATGGTCCTGGTATGTTTCAGAATTTGTGAATTCTTAGTGTAACTGCTAACTTTGCTCCAGATGTAAAGTAGATTAGCTATTGAAGTGGACTGAAGTTCTTCTCATGACTTCTATACCATTCAAATACAAGCATATTTAATAATTTCATTTAAATTGAAATTTTATGTTTCAAGTAGGATAAAAGCATGATGGTCATAGGTGTAGTTAAAATGAACTTCCACTATATCAGTTATCAATAATAAGATATGAAGATTTGGGAAAACAAGAACACTAACGCATTGTTGATGCAGTTGTGAACTGATCCAGCCATTCTGGAGAGCAATTTGGAACTAATGGCTATAAAATTTTTTGTACCCTTTGACTCAGTAATACCATTTCTAGGTCTGTATCCCAAAGAGATCATACAAACAGGAAAAGGACCCACATGTACAAAAATACTTATAGCAGTTCTTTCTGTGTTGGCAAAGAATTGGAAATTGAGGGGATGCCCATCAATTGGGAAATGGCAGAACAAATTGTGGTACATGAATATAATGGAATACCATTGTGCTATAAGAAATGATGAGCAGGCAGACTTCAGAAAAACCTGCAAACTGATGCTGAATGAAACGAGCAAAACAAGAACTTTATACACAGTAACAACCACACTGTGTGATGACTGACTTTGATAGATTTTGCTCTTCTCAACAATGCAAGGATCTAAGACAATTCTAAAAGACTCATGATGGAAAATGCTGTGCACATCCAGAGAAAGAACTATGGAATTTGAATGCAGATGGAAGCAAACTATTTTCTCTCCTTTTCCTTTGTTGTTTGTTTTATTGCTTCATTGTCCTGGTTCCTCCCATTAGATCCAATTGTTCTTTACATCATGACTAGTGGGAAAATACGCTTAATATGAATATATAAGTAGAGCCTACATCAGATTGCCCGCTGTCTTGGGTGGGGGGAGGAGAGGGAGGGGAAGAAAACTTAAAACTCAAAATCTTATGGATATGAATGTTACAAACTAAAAATAAGTTAATTAAAAATTTTAAAAAGAATAAGATATAATTATGGGTGGCCCCCCAGCCCCTCAACAGGAACAACCAGGTATGGAATCTGGAAGAGCTTGGTTTAAGTCCTGTCTCTAAAATATATCCTGGCTAACCACAGGAAGTCACAAGTTGCAGAAATGATGCCAATCATCACTTGTAATGGGAATTTTTCTCAAATTAATAAAGATTAAGTTCACTGTGCTAAGTGTGGGGGGGCACAAAGAAAGGCAAGAAAAATAGTGCTTACTCTCAGGAAACTCCCAGTCTAAAGGAGGAAACAAGCTAAATTGGAGATAATCTAGGGAAGACACCAGAATTAAGGAGGATCTGGAAAGGCTTCCTGTAGAAGGTAAGATTTGAAGGAAACCAGGGAACCAGGAAGTAGAATTGCAGAAAAGCATTCCAAGCAGGGGGGGACAGCCAGTGAAAATGTGTGGAGTGGGTAATGGTGCGTCTTGAGGGATAGCAAGAAGGCCAGATAATGGATCTTGAGGTAAGAGTGCAAGCATGTGAGAAGACTGGAAAGGTAAATGGGTGCACATTACGAATGGCTTTATCAAAGGATTTTATTATTTTATCCTAGAGGTAGTATGGAGCAATTGGACTTTATGGGGGGGGGGGGAAGAAGGATTGTGACACAGTCACTCCTGTACTTTAGGAAGATTATTTTGACAGCTCAGTGGATGATGCACTGGATTAGGGAGAGACTTGTGAGAAAGAGTCCAACCAGCGAGGTATTTGAATAGTTCAGGCACTAGTATAGTACCTGACACCTAGGCATTTCATAAATGGTTAATAAATGAAATTACAAGTTCATCTCCTTATTTCCTATGAGCCAAAATAGCCCAGTCATGGAGCAGATCAATGGCCAGAAAAAGGATATGTAAATGATCTATTAAGTAAAGAATTGGTTTCTGAATAATAGAGTCAATAGATAAGTAATGTAAATCTAGGGGGATATATATATATAGAGATATATATATATATATATATATATATATATATATGTATATATATATATATATATGTATATATATATGTATGTGTGTATATATGTATATACACACATAATTATATGTCTATATGTCTATATAATGTGTATATATATTATACACTTAAGTGTATGGGTATAACTTAACCCATTGAGAACAAAAAGTTTAACTGGATGTAAAGCAACACAAAGGAAGGAAAGTATGTACTTAGAACTATGAAAGGAAGTATGGTATACTATAAAGAATGAAGTCAAAAGATATGGGTTTGTGTACTAGCTTCAACCACTTAGAATAGCTTGGGGAAGACATCAAACCTGTTTCTTCATCTTGCTTGTACTACTTTATAGAGATGTTGTGAGGAAAATACTTCAGAAACATAAAGGGTTGTATACACATGAGCTATTAACAAATGGTGTATATGGCATTTGGCATCTGGAGAAGTATTCTATCTTTGATGCAGAAAGGTATTTATATGAGATTACTTTATCCCCCTATAAAAGGATATGCCCTGCAAATCAGTGATATTGGAAAGATACACGTAGAAGCACACATACCCTTGTCAGGAAATTAAAAAGCACCTCAAAACCAAACATGAAGTGGCCTTCAAAATAAAGGTGTATATCATGGATTGAAGAAAATGAAAATCCTATCAGCCAATTTATTCCCATCATCCTCCTATATCACCCAGAACCATTTTTCATTTCTCCTGTTCAAAACAACTATGATTCCTGCATTTTAATGAACCAGCTCAAATAAACACAATATTTTTTTTAAAATAAGTCTTTACTTAATATATCAACAAGGTACTGTATAGCGTAGAGTGAAGTCTTGAAGTTAACATGTGCAACATGGTAGGTCTCAGAAGATGTATAATGCAGGTTTTCCAGCCCCTTGGAGTTCCATGTCAAGGTAAACAAGAACCAAATCAACATGTGGCTCAATTAATAACAAATCATCATGATAAACTTTTAATAAGTATACTTTATGCCACTCTGCTTATATCAGGGACACACATTGGCCTAATGCCTCATTTTGCCTCTAAACTGATACACATTTTACATCCTAGGGAATAACTTTCCAATGCCCCAGGGAGGTTTTTAAATACCAGAAAACTCTATGACCTCTACAGCCCTGCTTTGTGCTAGTCTGGTGGGTGTGCTACTAGAGAAATAATAACAACCAAGTCTTTTGATTCCATTATATGTACAGTATCACTGTTTTGCCAAACTTTATTCAATCAATTTCCCCTTGCAACTACAGGGACCAAAGCGACTCCTGTCGTACCACTGGGGAAGGATGAAAACTCCAGCTTCCTTGTGTGAAAAGAAGCATCAGGCAAGGCCACATGAGGCTTAGCACTCGAGTTATTTTTGTTTTCTCTTTGGGGCACTCACTTCTGTTTTGCTTTTTTGTATGGCTGGAAGATAAGTCATGAGTAAAACTATTATTCTCATGTTCTAAAGTAAAACTTTAATGTCTCCTCATTATAAATTAGAATAAAGAAATGCTATGAACAAAGGATTAAATGGAAATTAACCACTTCGCTGTCAATAGCTGTGGCTGAACCCGCTGCTGAGATTGGTAGATAAAATTCATTATTTGTTCTCCCCATGGGTTACAACAATATTGCCTTGTGATTTGTATGGATGCTTTGCTCACAACATGAAGAAGTTTTCTCCCAGTGGGGAGGTATTTTCTAACGCCCATGAAATGACTAAAAAGATTATGATCTGCTCCAGTAGAAAATGGAGCTGTAATATTAGCTCCTTCATTAGTTTTTTTTTAAATTTTTTTCTCAGACCAGTCATATTGTATTTTTTTCACCTTGGGGGAAACTCCTAATATATCTTCCACAAACATTCAGATAATTAGAAAATATAATAATGCTCACAAGGGAGAATGAATTTCACTTGCAGTATTCTTGTTCAGAAGCCCTGGGAAGGTAAAGGCAGGGAAACACCAGATGTCTCTTCCTGCTAACACATGCAATGAAGTTGCAAATTCAACAGACAAATGTAGTTGACACTGGGAGGGAAGGTTGCAGCATCTCCATCATCAAATCTCTTTTCCAAACATCATCAGTATTAAATGGCAATCATGGATATGGATAATGACTGTCATTAGATATTGATTTATTCCTGTTCTTTTTAACATTTCTTCTTTGCCAGGATAGAGTCACATACTTCTAAAATGTATACACTATAAATCAAATTAACTCAGTTGGCTAAAACATTATACCGTGGAAGTCAAGACCATAGGTCTTGCTTTATGTGTGAACCAGTGAATATCCTTCTGCTTTATGGATTTGGCTTCCCACTTAATTTTGGCCACCTATCTCCCAGTGTATATCGACCACAGGAGGGACCAAGATAGGACGCAGACAGGTTTGCACAAATATGGCCATCACTTGAAACATAATTTCAAACACAAGTCCTATGGTGAGGCAGCAGCAACATGGGTCCATTATAGAACAGAACACTATTACATCACAGAATCTATGCATTTAGTGTGAGGTGAAATTCCCAAATACCATATTCAAAAAGAATTCTGTTTTCAATAGAGCATTTGCTATGTCATACAGAAAATCAAAATAAGCAAGGTTAATGGTAAATGAAACTTTTACAACTCATCTTTCTAGCATAATGGGTATGGTACCCATTCAGTGAACTGTAACTCATTCTCTAGGCCAAGAACTCTGTTGTATCTGCTAGTGCCAAATAACCCCACATGCTGTGTAGGCCACAGGAAGATTTAAGAAAATGGGAAACTTACCCATCTTGAGTTTTGAATCTCGTTGGCCAGAGGCCCTTTGGGAATGAAATCACGTGAGGATAAATAAGTAGTATTGTGAATCTATATTTAACTAGAAGCCAAAGCATTCTTCCTGAAAATATATTGTTATCTATAAAGTCTAAATATGTTGGAGACTTGAAGTGATTAGGTAATTAAGTGAGATCCCCCTGGGTATTTAGCTGAATTTTCCAGACTGGGCTCTTTCATTGCTCAACCTAACGCCTTTCACTCTTATTGTAGAGATAGTATTAAGTAAGCAACCCAAGTGCTGAGCTGCTACAATACAACGGAAATCTCAGTCACTCCAGAATTCATACAAAGCCTGAAATTTCACCTTGGCTGAATGCACACTGGTGCACTGATGTCTATAACAATATATAGCTAGTTACAATTTTTTTTAGTTTGTTTATCCCAAAGGGCCAAAGGAGTTAAAACGTACTGGGGAGAGGGAAAGTATTGAGGAAATAAGGCTTTTACTATAAAGAAAAAAAAACTTGCATAGCATTTTATACCTAAGGTTATACAAAGAAGACACATCACAGCTTATTTTTTTCCTCTAAAAACAAAACAAAATAAAAACAAAGACAACTCTGTGACACTTGCCACATGGCTCCCTAAAAAAAAAAAAAACAACTGTTACAGTAAGAGAAATAGAAAACACATAGTACAGAGGGAGATTTCTAAATTTAATTTTTTAACTAGAACTTCAAAAGGATGCAAACTTTCAGATAATGCCTACCATCTCCATCCACAGCCCTTCTACACCTTGGGGATAAAAAGGAGAAAATGATTTAGGCTTTCCAAGGATCTCATGGAATCTGTAAATAAGGGACAGAGCTTCAAAAACATAGCATATCACACTTAGATAACTCCTCTCCTAATCCCCTTTTGCTCTCTCCCGTGCTCTGACAGGACTAGGCAGAAAACTTTATAAAACATCCAGTTTGCTCATTTTTTCCATCAATTAAATGTAAACTGCAAAATGGAAAAAAAGTCAATGTATTTGTTGAACCTGGAAATTGCTTGGGGGCGGGGAGAATATATAAATATATATAATGTTTTGGGCCAGCACTGGTAGGCCTTAATAGTGACCTCTAAGGTCCCTCCTAAATCTAACTCTAGGATCTATGATCTACTATTAGCTGTGATAACGGACACGAGTTTCATAAGCTATAGGTGCACTTGGGTGAGTCTTTGTGCATCCCAGAGTGTCATAAATAACTTTTCCTGAAAAACTAAGGAAAGATGAGAACCAAGTGGAGTATAATTAACATAATTTTGTGGGTTCTTCCCCCCAAAAAATGTCTGAATGGAAGACAAGAAATTGAGAGAAGGAAAGGCATGAGTTTGGGCTTTGTCTACATGAGACCAACACAACTGGCTTAAAAGTAAAATATTAAGTAAAATAACCATTTCAAGATTTTTTTTAACCACATGACAATGAAAAAAAAAACACCTAACTTGAATGGTTTTTTTTCCTCCACTCAGTTGCTTGGTCAGTCATGTAGACACACAGCCTTATTGAATTTCCCAAAATAATCTTCTATATCAAAAATAATTTAATTCAGTATTTCTTTTATGCTATTGTGTTAGTCTCTCTCTTAAAACAATGTATTGGAAAACTTTTCAGTTGAATTTGGTTTAGCCTTATACTTGATTTGAACATAAACACTTTCAAATGGAGTTGATTTTCTTTCTGAATCATCATTTTGGCAATACGTCTGAATTAAATGTAACTCTGGTCTCTAACTCTGTCAAATTATATAGGGTTGGGACACTATGATGATTTTTTAAAAACCATTTACTCAGCCAACTCCAAAGTTTTCAAGCTTTTTGAAATTTTAATTAATCCTCTTGGGCTTTGCCAAGTGGGCCAAATTATCTCATGAGAATGAAGTTCTCTCCTTGTGATTCAGCAGTTATTTCCTGCACTGGGTCAAACCAGAATTTTGGTACAATTTGCCCATCCCTAATTTTGTAATTTCGACTTTCACACACTCCCACCCGAAAAAACCTGGGAAGTGCAGAAATAGCAATGGAATTGCTTGGTTAGATTTTTTTAAAAATAGAAATTAAATTATCCTGTACTAATGAATCCACTCTAATTTGTACTTGGACCTTGACCAGTGGCTCTGAAAAAGAAAATGTCTTTTGACAGCTTCGACAGCAAAATGGTTAATGTACATTGTACAGAAAAATCACTCTTTCCTTTGCCATGGCATTGGGTTCTCATTGTACAACCCTGTACAGTACTTCAGCAACTTTTTTTTTTAAAGATTTAAAAAGCAAAGAGTTACAAAACTGTTTGCAATTAACTTGAAATAGAAAAGATAGCACTTTTTTTTAAATCCCATTATATAGTACACCGTATAAATTACAGAGTATTCAAATGCACAAATGCATCTGTGTAACATTTATCAAATGTAATTTGTGTGTCTCTATGCTCACACGTGTGTGTGTGTGTGTGTGTGTGTGTGTGTGTATGTTTGTATGTATGTATTCTCCAAGAATTTCACTGTCCGCTTGGTGTCTCCCTGCCCCCCTCGATATCACGTGTGACAGTGCTCCAAGTCTGGAACGCTGCTGTTGCAGTATCTCATGTTGTTGGGAATGTGGCAGTCTGTGTAATTAATGCCCCCATTTGGGGTGTAAATGGGCTGCAGTCTGAAATCTCCTTTAAGGAGCTGATCGTTATTTAAGGAGACAATCTGAAAGCTGGTTTCTGTCATCTCCAGGATGGAGTTGTCCTTTTTGGTGCCCGCCTCACAGTAGTCGTCTTTCCGCCGGCCCCGATTATATTTCCACTTCTGGGAGGTGTAGCGCCCCTTTTTGTGCATGTGCCAGCAAAAGACGCTGAGCAAAACCACCAGCACAAATATCACTGCACCCCCAATCAAACCTGCCAGAAGAAAGGGGGAACCCATGTTGTGAGAAGTTGTCTGCTCGTGACTGGAAGCTGTGTTACTACCATTGTTTAGATGGGAGGCATGAGTGGTAGCCTCTGAACAAATGGTGTCTTCTCCAGCTCGGTAATTAAAAGCATCCAGCGGCACTACGCACACCCGATAGGTAGACTTGGGCTCTAAATTGATCAAACTCAGATGCTGCTTTTCACCACCGACTATCCGTTCTTGAACGATGCCCCCTACCAGGCTGTGACCCATTTTCACCCAGGTGAGTTTGTATGCCATCACAGTAAAGAGAGAAAGCCAACTGACTTGAATGGAAGTGTCATTCACAGCATGGACTGAGAGTTGGATCCGTTCAGAAATCGGAGGGGTCACCCTTTCTCTGTCATCCCAGTCAGGCACAGTGGGGAGGAGTTTAGATACAGTGGGCGTCAGAGGAGTATAATTTCTACTAGGGGTGGCTGCAGACTGAGTGGGAATCTGTGTGGTTGGAGGAACAATACTTGGGGGTGGGGTAATGAGAGATAATCCAGGTGTAGTGGTAGGGCATGACAACAGATTCATATTCAGCTCCCTGACAGCCATGCCTCTGACCTGTTCTGGTCCCTGGCACATAAAACCACGTACATTAAGAGATGAAGGAATGAATTTGAGCCACTCTGTGACCCACTTAATACCGCAGTCACAAAACCAAGGATTATTCCGTGCAGTGAGCTGCTTCAGGTTGGAAAGATTATCAAAGACCCCTTGAGCCAGCATCCGCAGCTGATTGTTGGAAATATCCAGCCGTTCCAACTTGTGGAGATTGGAAAATGCCGTCAAAGGGATATGGTTTATCTGGTTATCCTGTAAGTAAAGCTTGACCAGATGCGTACCTGGGAGATCAGGTGGAGGGTGGGACAGTGAATTCCGCACGATAGAAAATTCCTTGAGCTTTGAGAGATGGCTGAAAGTCCCCTCAGCAATACCCTTATTGGTAAGGAGATTGCCATCCACAATTAGACGCTCCAAACTTGTGAGATTCTGAAAGGCCATGTCTGATATAACAGCAATTCGATTTTCATCTACCCTCAGTTCTTGTAAATCCACAGGGAGCCCAACAGGCACACTGCTCAGATGGTTCTTAGACAGAAACAACAGCTTGAGACTTACAGCCTCTCGGAATGCCCCATCTTCCACACCTACTGTAGAGATGGAGTTGTCATCCAGGTGTAGCTCTTCCAACTTCAAAAGCTGAGCAAGAGCTGCTCGAGAAATGGTCTGAATGTTGTTTTCCTGCAGGTGCAGAACCCTGACATTCTTGGGCAGGTTCATGGGGAATTCATCCAGTTGGTTGCCATACAGGTAAACTGTGTGCACCGACCGTACATTGTGCAGTTCTGCAGGAAATCCGGCATTATTAATTTGGTTATTGTGGAGGTAGAGTACGGTTACGCCCTCCGGTATCCCAAGAGGCACTGAGGTCAAGCTTCGCTCATTACAGTAGACAAAGTTCCGGTCACAGCGGCACACACTAGGGCACGCCATGTTTTTAGAAACCTGCATGTACAGCCCCAGGGAAATGATAACCCAAGATTTCAGAAGCAAAGCCCCGTGGCTAGGCCACTTTGTAGTCTTTAGGCCCATCTCTGAAGTAAAGAAACAAAATACAGAGTGGCTGGGGGATGGGAAATAATAAAGGCAGGTGGCAAAACTGAAAAGGCAGGGAACAGGTTCTGTTAGTGTCCAACACTCAAGCAACGGTAAAGTCCTGAAGGAGAAGAGTAAAACAATCCTCCTGCTATTGTTTTCTGGTAATCAGCTAGGAAAGCCCCAGTCTCATCATCCTCGAGTTGCCTTCTTTACTGCCTTCCTCCATGTGCATGGAAATGCAGTAGATAGGTCTTTTTTTTTTCCCCTAACAAGTGATACGTGATGCCAGCGTGCTCACTACCAAAGGAACCACAATGGACTGGCAAGGCTTCTGTCTTCAGTTGTAGTTCAGGTCAGTGTTGTTCAGCCTGTGAGCATCTCAATTCAGTCAATTCTTGGTCTGTTGTAGAACAAAAAGAGAGAGATGTCAGTAAAACTGGTGACAGGAGGAATAGTAATCATAATGATTCCCTACTCCCCCTCCCTTTTTTTGAAGGAAAAAAAAAGAGATTAGAGTTAAATAGGTATAATTGGCATGAAAATCTACCCTTAATCAAGGACACATGTTGGATAATGACTCTAAATTGTGCTTAAAAATATGGATATACAGCAGGGACTTAATGACTGAATGGATGAAATGCAAAATAAAAACCATGTTTATACATTCAACAAGCACCACTGAATCTATGACCTACGGACCTCTCTGCTTTGTCACATATCTCCCTGTAACCTCTATCCGTACGCCAAATGATGTTATATAAAATTACTGAAAACATATCTATTTGAAATTTTTATTGGCTTTTTTGGTTTATTTATGTTTTTTTTATTTCAAGAAGGTAGACAAAAGCACAAGTCAGACTTAAATTATAGCAAGATATAAATAACAATGCATCACATGCGGTCAAAAAATCAAACAATTCCTTCGAAAGAGTTATCATTAGACAAACAAATGTGAAATAGCAAGCAGTTCAGTTGAAACTGCTTAATTCTTCCCCTAATCCCATTCTACATACCACATCTCACGAGCATGTAAAATGTCTCCCCTCCATTTGTATGAAAGAAGACAAGAAAACAACAACCCCATGCTCACCCTTCAACAGCCCAGGTCCTGAGTAGAATGAACTGAGGCCCTCACACTTCCAAGTCAAATAACCCTACTCTCAAGTGAGCCATATACATGACGTTACACGACAGCATTGCAGAATCCAGGCCCAGGCATAAGCTCTTCCCCCACCGAGTTAGCCGGTTCCCTGGTATCCCCAAAGGAAGAATTGTCTCAGCTCATTTTGTTATGGTTGAAGGAATATTTGGGGAAATTAAGATACTTTTAAGAAACCAATTATTCTTTCTTGCACACAATTTCAAGCCATCAATTCTGAGATGAAAGAAATAAAGGAGTTAATTGAAAGGTACCGGTTTTGATTTCCCTATAAAACCAACATGTCAGGACACGGTAAGCTGTGTGTCTCTTAATTCTCACCAATATAAAGAAATTGAAGCCACTGAAACCTAAAAGCACAAAAGAATTATTTGAGGCAGTTATTTTAACAACCTGAAGAAACTCTATTAAAAAAAAGGAAAAAAAAATAACAACCAGCAAAATATGATATGAGCATCATATAATTTAAATGCCTGAGGAGCTATATAAGAATTCTGCTTTAGAAAGTAGATATATATTTCTGCTTTCTATTTTAATGTGTGTACATATTTCTGCTTTATAATATACATGTACACACATATGTATATATACATGTATGCAGACATATGTGTGTATGCTTTTTTAAAGGATCATCTTGTTTTAGAATCAAAGCAAAGGAAAAAAATAGCATTATATAAGCTGGCATTCAGAAGCAAACAAGTGCTCTGTCACTGAACTATAATCATTACCCTCCAGGAGAAAAGGCCATCTAGATCATCTAGATCATAGATCTAGAGGAGGAATGAACCTCAGAGGCCATATAGTTCCTTCCCCTCACTTTGCAGATGAGGATACTGAGGCCGAGGAAGATTGACTTGCCCAAGGTCACACAGACCAGCATCAGAGAAAGGGTTAATCTGCAAAGGGAGACACAGCAAAAAATCTGAAGTACCTTTGATAGAAACATTTTTTATTTTATCAACAATCACTAATTTAATTCTTAAATTATTTCAAGATACACAATGGCTTTATACACAATGGCTAACCACTTCATTTATTCCAATATTCTAGTGTATTAAGTTTAAAGAGAATAACAGTATGTGGAGTGGCCGTTTAAGGAAGAGTTATAAGCTATTTTTCCCAACCCCCACTCCCAAGAGTTAACCAGAGGTAGAATAGTTCAGTGAACTCAGGAAGTTAAGGGGTTCAGATCTAGTCTGGCCAAGGCACAGAAATTCTTAAGAGGTCTGGTTGACTCTTGATCATAGAGGAGTTACACCTCTACCACTCTGTGAATGTCCTACAATGAAATTGCAGGTCAAGTTATATACAGCCTCTGCAATAATAGAAGAAATTTATATAGAGATCCAATGGGGCTAAGAAAATGTTTGCAAAAGTTACTTTATAAAGAAATGTTAGTTGCATTCAAGAGGTTCTACTTTTTAATAAAATAATCCACCCCCCCATAACACCTCTTGTCAAATAAAATTTCTGGTTCTGTTTGCAATCAGCCATCAGCAAGATTGAAAAGGCAGGTTAGGTTCAAAGCACATTTCTAGCAATGTTGAAAGATCTGTCATGCATACACTAGTAGTGCAATATTTTCTAAAAGGCTACCCTGGGGACTCCAAAGTAGGTAGGTTTAAAAAAAAAATGGATGTTCTGTAACCGTGTTTATGAGCCAAGATATTATAGCCTAAAAAGAGCAAACTCTATGCTTAAAGATTACCGTACATACTTAGAAAGCTCATCAAGTATCAGACCCCGAGGCTAACATAGTCGGAAATTCACAAAGAGCTCTGGACTATTCCTGAAACTTATCATTATGCAACCAAATAGTAAATTTTCCACTTGCTGGGCTGTGTCTTCTATAACTATAGAAGAGGCCCCATCAGCCACCCCAGGGCTGAAGGCCTTGCTCTCTTGCAGGCCTATTTCACTCATGAGTGGCTCTTTTATAATTATGTGTGATGACGTGATACTGAAGAAAGCCCCTAACAGGATTACATGGTTCAAACTGTCACTGTTTATCCTCTTTAATATGAGTAGAGCCCTATCTAGATCACATTGAGTTGATCGACCACAGCAAGTTCAATTCTCAATAAAGGAATTCTTGGATTCTAATTAGGAATCTTCACAAAATTATACTGCTAAACAGTTCAGATCAGATATGATCCAATGATCAGAAAGCCTCAATGCACATGCCATTACGCAGTATTTCCGTTAAAATAAAATGAACTCTGTAAACTCTGAAAACACCTCAGAAATAATCATTTTCCCACTCCCCCCCCAAAAAAAGTCAAATAGGACCATCACTGGTCCATATCTCTTCTGTCATTTCTCAAAAATAGCTCTTTCTGACTCCTATTCTGAGGGCAGAAAATGTCTTATATTTCAATATTAATATCAACTTAAATGCAAAGAGGAAAGTCAAATTATGTTCAAACAATCTATGTTAGTCTCTTGTATCAAATGAACTTCTAAGAAATAAGAGCTGACAATCACTTCTTGTCAGAGAAAATGGACTATACCTAGTTTACACAGTAGAATACTAGCTAAAAATCAATATCTAGGGTAGAATCAGCATTGCCTATACAGCTGAAGCAATAAGGTGTATAGAAAGACAGCTCACTGGCAGAATAAAGATTCTACTGTACAATGATTACCTCTACTTGGCCTGATTCTCATCATGCTATTAGCCCTCCCTGATGAGAGTAAACAGACCCATGTTGCTCAGCAGTTAGCTGTTTTAAAGTCGCAATTTTTTGTCAAGAATAAAAAAGATCTTCCCCCCACATGATGAATTTCATATGTTGAGAGCAAGGTTTTCTTTGTCTATTTAAATACTAAGCAAGTTCTTCCCCATCCTCCCTTCAAGGAAACTTAGGAGTTTATTAAGAATTATTGAATGGAAGGCATTGGATAAATACAGGAACTTGCATTTATAAGAGACAACACAACGTCAAAAGCCTGAGAGTAAACCAGCACATAACAGATGCTCTTTGGCAACTCTAAAATGCTTACCATGCCAGCCTCTTACAGATGACAGTAAAGCAAAGACGCTGCTTTAATTTCACTATTTTCAGAGGTTCTGGGATGCAAGCACATAAATCTTTTAAAAGCTTTTTGCAAAGAGTCTCTTTCTCTTAGCTCTGTTGGGTTAGTTGAAGAGCTTGATTAATTTCAGGAGACCATATTCCAAGAGTGTTTAATAAACTAAGATCATAAAAATCATGGTACAGAAAACAGGAATTGTCCGCAAGTGCTACTGACTGCTTTATACAACAGTACAAGGCAAATCTTAATGGCTTCAGCTTTGGTTGTACTTGGAGAGGACAGTAGAGTTGTGTCAAGGGCTACAAATACAAGCTGACCTGAAAAGTCTTCCCAGCATTACAAAGATCTCACTGCTTCTAGAATCTTGTGGTCATTTGGTTCTGTGCAGAGACAGGTGTCTTAATGCAAAATGAGGAAGTTTGAGGATACTATATTCTTTATAACATGTAGGTATAGAAACATCCCATGATGGCATTTTAAAAAATCTGTGGACACCAAAAAGTGACCAGTAGGTTAAGCTTCTGCACATCCCCAAAGATGAGTTAAGGATACTGCATTTGAAATCTATGATCTACAGCTAGTCAGCTACTAAGGCAGAATCAGCAAAAATAATTTAGAAAAATAAAAACAAAACAAAATGTAACAGAGGTCCGATGCAGGTACAGACCTCATCAGTTAGTGTGGAGGACACAAGATCATTGCTTGAGGTCTGCACATGCACCAAACTCCCATTAGAGACCAAACCAAAGCAAAACAAAAAATACCCACCACCCTCTAAGCTGAAATGATTCCTTTATAGAAGAATCTGAACCAAATTTCTGGAAAATTCTGATTAGATGTTTGTTTTCCTAAGAACATTCTTAACACCTCAGAACTTCCTGGCTCCAGCCAGTCTAGAATTGGAAACATTAAAATACCACCAAAAGGGCCATTCTCCTGGCAAGCAGAAAATGCTGAACTTACTTAAAGAGGAATCTTCTTGTCGTTTCCAAACCAGTTAGTTCAGATAACATGAGTAAGTTTAGGACAGTAACCAAATATTAAAACCATGAGCAAATAAACCTGAACTCCTTGCCTTTGGGGGCGCACTTGATAGTACCACATATTGTCCACAGTCAGTACACAGAGGTCCTATTGATAATTCCATAATCCCATGTAAGACTTAAGTATGGTCTATGACACTAAGTGTGGCACTTAACTGTGTT